AATAATATACAAAGCAAGTGATGCACAATGCAGTTGCTCACCACCCGCTGACCGATGCCCAGCCAGTCCCCGAGCAGCGGCCCCCCCCGGCCAGCTTTCCCCAGTTTATGTACTGAGCATGACGTCCCATGGTATGGAATGTCCCTTGGGCCAGTTTGGCTGTGCCCCCTCCCAGCTTCTTGTGCACCTCCAGCCTTCTCAGTCGGTAGAGCATGGGAAGCTGAAAAGTCCTTGGCTAGTGTAAGCATTACCTAGCAACAACTAAAACTGGCCCCGTACGGGCCAGTGCTCGGTGCGTTATCAACTTTGTTCTCATCCTAAATCCAAATCATCCATCAGCAATGGGAAGAGAAGCTAAATATTACACTGGTTTTAATCTCTGGTAAATTGTTAGGTGAAGTGTTGTTCAAATGTAACTTTGGCTTTCTAAGTAGGAAAGCGTTTCAAAAAAACAGAAGAAAGGGAGTGGATATATGTGAGCCGACATACTGAAAGAATTTGATTCCATCTTCTGAAAGTTTTTGTGATATCTAACTATGATACATTATTGCATTTCTGTTTATTTTAGCTATGGATTTCTCCATTCAGCATTTTAAAAAAAAAAAAATTGTAATCCTCAGTAGGTTTTAATGCCTATAATAGTATAAACCCCAATTCTAATGTTTCTTTTAATTAAAATGGTTTTTGAACTATTGCTTTTTAGGGTGGGTATGGAGAGACCTGTGAAGTCTTAATACAATACCATCCTCGACTTTTCCAGACAATAATTCAAATGACACAGAATGAAGATCTACGGGAAAACATGGTAATACAGTATTATGTGTTCTATAGCTACCGATCTGTCTGTGTTGTGGAGATCTGATTGCTTAATATGAGCATCCTGGTTAGAACACTACCAGCAGTTGACTATCAGTGCCACAGTAGTTGACCGCTATGTACGTTTTTCCCCCCATGGAAAATTTACAGTCTTCATATAGTTTTAAACACAAGAATTTGGGATTAAATGTAGATCTGCTTTAATTTAGTGTTCTAACTTTGCATATTTGTCAGAGTGATCTAGACAGTATAAGAATTGAAAGAGCAGACTTGTTGCAAGCTTCAATACAAAGGTGCAGGTAGAGCATTCTATATATACGATTACTTTGTGTAATGGGGCCTATTTTCCTTCATTTAGTGGTTATCTGCAGATACCCATTCTAGGAGGTGTCTCGAGGCTTAAATCATTTAGGATGAACTTGAGCATTCAGAGTATGAGCGCTCATCTGTATGAAGTTGCCTTTTACAATTAGAGTGTAAAAGACTCTAATTGCAGCTGCAATTTCATTTGGTTATTATTGCTGTAGATGAAACTCTTCTGTTTCTTTTTCAGTGCTGCTTCTATACCTTGTTTCTTTTATTATTGTGGGGTAGTACAATCTAAAGCAAAGAAAAAGCAAGGAAGAGAGTGTTTGTTTTGTTTCTTGATTGTGTAGGGGGAAGGAAGCATGGAATGCTTTTTTTTCCCCTTCCAAATCTAGCTAGCTGTAGATTTTTAATATATTGTTTGCTTGAAAATAACTGCAAACAATCTCACAGACTGTAAATTTAAAAAAAAACAAAGAAACAATAGAATTATAAGGTGTTGGCTGCCACTTCACTGAACTTGGTTTGCTAGATTTTTGAAGTTTTTATTGTTCTCTAATCCCATTACTTCCACTACAAGAATGAGGATTTATAAGTCTGTATAGAAACAGTATTTAAATTTCTGAGACAGGGTTGAGTTTTACAGAGTAAAATGACAGTGGTTAGAATTCTCAAAGTGTATATTAGAAGCATGGGGAGATGGTGTAGATGATTTCAAATAAAAGAGAAAGTTAAAGGACTAAAACCATGGAACAAACAAGACCTTCTACAGAAAGGTAAATGGCAAAGCATACTATTGTGTATTGTATAAGTGAAGACAATAAACAAGAAAAATGAATGTTTTGTCTGTCCGAGTAATGGTGGAGGTGTGTGCAAAACCAAGATCTGAATGAGAGGGTATGCAAAATATGTTAGATAATTCATGGTATAGTTATGCTTCGTTGCCAAAATGGAAGAATATTTTAAGTATGGTTTTCTATGGCCATGTCTGAGCTGTTCTGCCCGAAGTCTTGGATAATGACCAGTTCATATTATCTGAAAATGATGACGTGAAGGGACTGGATGTATGTTAGAAGTCAGGACTCTCATTTTAAATGTTCTTGACAAACTGGAAAAATTATCGACAGACTGCAGGGAGAAAGATATTGCCTTAGACATCTGTAGCTATAGATTCAACTGAACCCTGAGGAAAAACTTTCACATGGTCAAGGACAGTGAAGTATTGGAAGAGATCACTTAGTGAAGCTGCAGGGCTTCCAGAGTAGAAGACATCTAAAAACCAGGCAGGAAAACTGGGAAAGCCAGTTTGGATAGCAGGTACAAGTGCCCCTGCCTTGGGGCAGAGTGTTGGACTAGATTACCTTTGTGATACTCCTTTTCATTCCACCTTTCTGCAGTTCTGTGAGAAGGATTACTGAACTTCCTGAAAGTGAGAGAGAAGGGAGTAAATGAGGATACAATAGGAATGCATGAAGAGCAGTGCCACTGAAGAGTTAATTTATCTGCAAAAAAAGTCTAGGCTAGAGAAAAGTGTAGAACAAAGGAGCTGAAGACAGGGCAGTGTCTGGGCGTTTGCAACATCTAGTCTTTGTGAGCCAAGTGATGGTATTAGCAAAAAAAGGGCAATTTTGAGAAGAGGATAATCATAACAATTATTGATTAGCAGGGTGTGACTTCTTATCCGAGGAAGGACACTCGGTATCTTGAGCAAAAATGAAGGTAGTGAGAGCAAACTCCAGGATCCAAGGTTCATTTACACTGTGTCATAAACTAACTGAGGAGTGAACTGGGGAGACAGGTAAATTATGGAACTCAAAATATGCTCTTAGCTTTCAGAAGTTGAAAGTGTATCCCGCTCATTTTTCAGATGCAAATAAGTTTTTCTTATGAGTTAATAATATATGGTTAAGCATTCAGCATTCATAGCATTCTGTAATATTATATATCTTGTAGTACATACTTTGACACTAGAATGTGTATCTTTTCAGTAATCTTTGTGAATTATAATGAAATGGTAACTGAGGTTAGATTAGATGTTGGACAACATAGACATATGTTAATATTGCTAGATATTAATACTGGGGTGAAAATGTTCTAAATTAATGTTGATCTGACGCTCCATGACACTGCAATTTCTTTTGTTCTAATACATCAGTTGCGGCAAGTTCTGGAACACTTGTCTCAGCAGAGCGAAAGCCAGTATCTTAAAATCCTGACAAGTCTTGCTGAAGTTGCTACAACAAATGGTCACAAACTGCTTAGGTAAGTGTGAGAGGATCATAAGTAGGTTGATAAGCTACCTGGTAGTTAGTGCCACTTAATAGTTTTAATAATCTAAACTATCTGATGCTGGACACATGCTGGAGTAGATGGATCTCAAATCTGTTTCTGTATGACAGTGCCTGTTTAGATCACTGTCTTCACAAGGACTTCAGGAGAGAAAGTTGGTGTCCTTGTATAGCTGCTGGTGCCTAGAAGCTTGAGTTGCAGAGAAGTGTATTTTTTGTTTGGTTACTTTGGCTATGTCAGCTCTAAGAAGGGAAGCTTTTTAACCAACCATCAATCATTCCTTTTTTTTTTTTCCTCTCCTTTTTTCTCTTCTTCCACATCTTTACTTTCTGCATGCTTTCTTAGTATGTTTGAGGAGAGTTTTGTTACTTCAGATACTTGTCTCATGTTTGCTGGCTCTGCCTTCCATGGCTACTAATATATATGAGACCAAAAATTCTGTCTCAGTGTGCTGTCTCAGCAGTGCGAGAAGTGATTACTTATGAGAATAAGTGATTACTGTGAGAAGTGATTCTCCCTCAGTAAGTTTGCAGACGACACCAAGTTGGGCGGGAGTGTTGATCTGCTCGAGGGTAGGAAGGCTCTGCAGAGAGACCTGGACAGGCTGGATTGATGGGCCCAGA